GATTGGAATATTAGCAGGGATAGTAGACTCTTCTGGATATTAACCCTGTCAGTTTTCAGCTGGATACCTTTTTCTGCAATACATTTTGGAAATGTCCTCCATCCCTGTTTTGGGGCAGAAATAACAGGCATGAAATCAACACAGAAAATCTCCAATTCCAGTTTAAAAATACAGGCTGTTAACTTTTTCCCTCTAAAACTAAGCTCTTACCTTTCCACTTGTTTTTCTGCATTGCCTAGCTTGGCATGACATGAAAGAATGACCACCAATTACCTTTGTGGGGTGGTGTACTTTGGCTGCCTCTGAGCACTGGGATTTCTGGGGTACCAAGGTCATTGTCACTGCTGACTTGCCAGCTTGTCCCTCCTAGAAGACATCCTCTTGCCATTGACAGGACTTGGTTATGTCATGCTTGTGGCTCGCTAAGAATACTCCAGTACGATTTCGTAGCTAAGTTAGCAAAGGCAGTGGAAGCCATTTGGCACAGTGACATACAATGCCACAGAAATAGTTGGGCCATAAACAAAGAGATGGCACCCAGTCACTGATTTTCAGGAGATTTAACCCAGCTCCATTTGTGCAAGTTTAAAAATAAACTTTAAATGTAATACACGTGGGCCTTGAGCCCACATGGGCAATGCTGATTGATGAGTTGAACTCTCAGATGTATTGGCAAAGGAAGTTAAGAATTGAAAAAGCAAGTGAAATGCAAATATTATTTTAAATAATAAAACAAATGTTAGCATTGCCACACCCCTAAATATCTGATATGCAAGGGGTTTAATGAGCTATTACATTGATTGGCTAGCTATATATATCTTGGTGTTAGAGAGCTCATCACAGCACTCAACTCTTGCTTAGCGTTCTCCATACATAGTACTGAATTTGCAACATGAATCCTGAGTGTCAGAGCAATGTATGTATAGTACCTCTTAGCTGGTGGGATATGACCAACAATATCTTGGCCTGTAGTTTCTAGATTAGAGATTAGAGTCTTGCATGGAATTGTGTGAGCAAGCTTCAGGTAAAACCAGACTTTGGTTATACTTGTGGCATGCTAGCTAATTTTTGTGAATGCTGACCAGTGCCAGTACCATTAGCAGGGAATGGAACAAATGGTCCACCATAGCTAAGATTAGCAACCTGGTCTACACCTTTTCTATCTTACCACAAAGTGTGTTATATGAAAGCCTTCATTGGCAAAGTCATGATGACAATATCTATGAGCCCATCTGGCAAGGATCACGGCAGAGGGGGAACATAAGAGTTGTAAATGGTAAACAGCATGAATTAAATGAAAGGTATGTTGTGTGTTGATGAAATTAAGAGAAATGTCAAGTATGTAATAGATCTGAATGAAGCTGGTCTGTACTTGTAGAGTATAACTGACGAATACATTTGGGGAAGTAAAGATGCCATTTTAGTTATGAATGACAAGAGCTAAATGTATAAATTGTTGCCATAATGGAACATTCCTTAAAATGTAAACCCCAGAGTTGTTTCAGTATTTTAGATTTTACCCTTCCTGTCAGCTGTGCTCCTTAGATTTTACTACATATCATTGTTAGGGGTCCATTGATTTCAGTGAACTAGAAACAATAGAGAAAAAAAGTGACATAAGATACAGTAAGAGGTGGTTCAGGGAATCACAGTGTCCCTAGGCCACTCAGAAGTGGAAAAGAAAAAAAAAAAACTTGGAGGCAATCAATTCTCCTAATGGTGTCCATAAACTTGATTGTGCTAGGAGGGACAAATAGAGCAGACTTCACTCTTAATGTGTGTGTGTGTGCGTGTGTATGCGCGCTGTCAAATTAGCATTCACTCCTAGCACCCCCATAGAGAAGTCCCTGCAGTTTTCTTGGCCACTGCCTCCTTCCTAGGGCTGAGAGAGAGGGACTGCCCCAAGGTCACCCAGATGGCTTTGTGCCTAAGGCAGGACTAGAACTCACCGTCTCCCAGTTTCTAGTGTGGTGCCTTTAATCACTACACCAAACTGGCTCTCACTTTTAGCACCTATTACTTAAAATGCATTTAAAATGAGGCATTTCTACATGCTTTCTGAAGTGCATAGCCAAGGATAGACAGACGATATTAACAAAGATGACAAGAATTCCACTTTATTTTCAAGTTGGGAAAGATTTCTGGTATCTACCATCCTAATTTTTTTTTACATTCACATATAAATATTCTCTCATTTACTTTTTTCCCCTTCTTCTCAAGTTATTAGCATTAAACCCCCCCCCCCCAATTATATAAATTCCTCAGTTCCATTCCAGAATGCTTTACAAAGTCCTCCTGTAGCATTATGTATTTGTTTTCCTTTTCAGTAAGGTTTTAAATAACACAATTATAAGAATTGAGTGCTAAGATACCAAAGACTCTGAAGTGCCGTGTATTTCTGAAAAATTGAAGGCCTCACTATGATAATAGGACATTCAATTTTACATGTCATACCTGCAAATAATGTATTTTCAAGAATGCAGGAAAAGATAAATGGGAGTGGGGAACTGGAAGAGAACCATATAGCCCGTCTGCTTAAGACTGTTGACCTTTCTTATACTATATCAGGTTGTACTTTAGGTTTAAGCTCTATAGCCCATCTTAGGTTAAAAATGCAGTTTTGGATGATAGTGGTAAAATCTCTGGTTCAGTTTAGCGTGATTGATACACTCATTGGAAGACTTTGGAAAACAGCACAGTAGGGTTATAAACGTTGGTTACATGCAACCTTTTCTGAACCTATTAACTGGGTCAGAGAAGCAGGACATGTAGTTCTGGGGAATGATCATAATAAAACTGGAATGTCCCCCTTCTAACAGTGTTCCAGAACTTTAGTGGGGAATATGGAGGGAGAACGTGTGCCTGAGAAAATTAGGAAAAAGTTAAAAAGGAGATCAGAGAGCTGGAGTAGTGGTTAAGAAATCAGGCTAGAAACCAGGAGACTGTGAGTTCTAATCCTGCCTTAGGCACAAAGCCAGCTGGGTGACCTTGGGCCAGTCATTCTCTCTCAGCCCTAGGAAGGAGCCAATGGCAAACCACTTCCAAAAAATCTTGCCAAGAAATTTACAGGGACTAGTCCAGGCAGTTACCAGGAGTCAAAAACTGACTTGAAGGCACAAAAAAAAAAAGGGGGGGGGAGGAGGAGATCAGGCAGCAGGCTACATGACCAGGATAATGCAGAAAGTGCAAGTCCAGAATGTGATAGGAAACTATAGACTTTAAGAATGGTGTGGCTAGAATTATAGACATGTTTGGGTAGATATAATTGTAGAATTTGGCTTCTTATCTTCCCATCCCATCTTATTTGAACAGATATACAGTAAAAAGTCTGACAACAGGAGAATTTGAAGAACTTTTATTTCAAAATGGCAAAAATTTAATATAGACATTTTTCTGCAACATGAGTAGTATGTGTGTGTTTGAAGCTCTGCCTCCCCATCCCTGCTCCTGACCGCATTTAGACATCTTTATGTACAAGGATGTCTAAAAGCAGCCAGACATGTGGAGATTCATGGGGTGGGAAGTTATGTGCACATGTAGTCCCCATTTTAGCCCTCTTAGGTTGCAGGATAATGCCTGTATGGGGTTAGAAGGGCTCAGTATACAATAACCAGCACAAAAGGACTGGTTAACCCAAGGTACTTACAAGAGACCTTTACTACAGAGTTTTGTAGATTGAATAAACAAAATCATTAGGGTTTCACCACGAAATACTACTGGCTGTAAGCTGTAGATGGAGTTGCCACTTTTATGGGCAAGCACTTGAGCTTTTAATAGCTGCAAAAATAAAACAGGTGGATCTTTTTCTGTCCTAGAAAATTTGGATTCAAGCATCTTCCCCTTCAAAACTGTGATAGGGAAACCATAGATGATGCATCAGTGAAGGGAGATGGGACAATCAAATTGGCAATACAATAAATAAATACTGCTGGATCAATGCTTAATGCAGCTTTCCCCAATAGAGCACCAACCAGATGTGCAACAGCAAAATCTTGCTGTTGAGGAATTCTGGGAGTTGTAGTTCCAAAACATCTGAAGAGCACCACATTGGGGAAGGCTAACTTAAATCATGCATTTGCATTATTGGTGTTTAGAAGTGGCAGAGGGAGGGAGACTTCCAAAAGATTACTATTTCAAAAAAATTGCCATGCATATTGGGCAATTCCAGTAAAAACAATTGCTACAATACAGGTAGTCCTCAACTTACGACCACAATTGGGACTGGAAAATTCATCATTAAGCAGTGCAGTCATTAAGCAAGACATAACATGACTGTAACTTGTGATCTTCCCTGCCAGCTTCCCCATTAACTTTGCTTGTTGGAAACCAGCTGGCGCAAATGGCAATCACGTGACCGCGGGATGCTGCAACCATTGAGGTGCATGACAGTTGCCAAGTGCCTGAATCACGATCACATGAATGTAGGGACACTGTGACAGTTGTAAGTGTGAGGACTGGTTGTAAGTCACTTTTTCAGTGCTGTTGTAACTTCAAATGGTCACTAAACAAATGGTCATAAGTTAAGGACTACCTGTAATTTAATGGAGCATTTAACCAAAGTTATGTGAAACTACTGTTCTAACTTACTAGACAGTGACTAACAACTACAAGATTTATTTTCAAGATGGATTTAATCTTCCACTGGTTGGGGAATTTACTAGATGGCCTCATAATAGTTCTTCTGCATCTCTGCATTTCCCTGCTTCAATGTTAAGCCATAAAATCACACTCAAGACAGATTTATATGTTTGCTTCATTGTGTTATTCATTCCTCTTGTTTTCTTTCATGAGCAAAACTGAATATGGAGTGCAGGAAGGGAACAGTTGAGCACATTAAGTGGTCCTAAAGCCAATGGCTACAACCCAGTTCATAACTGCAATTGCTTTTGCTGTTGCTGACCTCACAGTGCTGAGAGCCATCCATTCTTTTTTCCCACTGCAAGTTCATGTTATGTGCAGTTCCCAATGTAATGAGCAGTTACTGTGAAAGGGTTAGACACCTCACCATGGAACTAATCTTCAGCTGCCATAAGAGGATCTGTTCAAATAATGGTGCCTCAGCATAATGCTATGGAAGCTGAACAACTAGAGGGAATGTAGCTTGAGCCCAAGAGCCACAAGTCAGGGGAAGACAAGTTATTCCCAGTGGGCAAATGGTGTCCCTGCCCACAAGCTCTGCAGAGCTTCAGTGTTGCAAATGGAGATCATTTTGAGAAC